ATAAAGAATCCCTGAGGTGTCAGCACGCCTAAAAGGCATCCACGAGGCGATCGTTCCATCTGGATATCTTCTCCCAGAAGATCTTTGGATCTTCTAACAGAAGAATATTTGCGGATTTCCAAGAAGATTTGGAGATCTTTCCACAGAAGATCGAAAGATTTTCTCGACGGTCTGGAGATCTTCTATTTGTTAGAAGAGATTTTCTCAAAGACACGGAAAATCTGGTGATTTTCTCACAGAAGATTTGGAGATCCTCCCACAGAAGATCGGGTAAATTTCTCCCTTAATATTTTCTCCTGAAGTTCTGGGAATATTCTTACCGAAACTGGGGTTCTTCTGACAGAATAGTAGTGATTTTTTTAGAAGATTTGACTAAACAGACTATCTGGTGATTTTCTTTGGGTTCTTCTCATAGAAGATCGGCGAATGTGTTCTGGAAATTTAGTAGATGGCCTCATTCGTTCAATACATTTACATTTACACTAAAATCTGCAACACTTGCCTGATTTTCTATTTTTAAGTTTTTTCCCCAATTCCAAGAATTTTCCATTACTACACTGCCTACCTCCCTCCATCCTCTTTTTTGGTTCCTATGACAGTTTCCATTGTGGCATCAAAAATGAAAAAATTCCACCATGAGTTTTATTGTTGTTCCGTTTTATGATTGTTATTCTATTGCTTTGGCAAAGATATGCTCCAAATCTCATTTACAAACAGCCGGTGAACATGGCTATGGCTGGGAGGAAATCCACCGCAACAACAACTACAACGAGTGACACCAAAAGCAAAACAAAAGTTCAAAGAACCACCCACCTACCCTTTTGGATGAGTGTGAGTTTGTGCGCCCAAAATCACTGAAGTTTGCGGGGCTCCCCCCTCTCCCCCCATCAACTTCAGTTTAGTGGGTCGTTGGTTCTATTGTCATTCGGTTGGCGACAGCGGCGTTCATTAACTTTGTACTACTTTTGGGTTAATAAACTTTCACACACAGACACACTGCCATGCCCACCACACTCTTGTGCTCACCTGGGTCTCTGACAGATTGGCTGGCTGGCTGTCTGTCTGACTGACACATGATGAAATGGTAGTAAAAATACGAATTAAATACAAAGTACTTGAATCTATTTTTGGTGTTAAAATAACAAATGAAAACAAAGACAGTCAGGCGGAGAATAAAATCTTCATTTATTGTTACCACCTCGACCTAACCGCCTAATAATGAAGAGATGAAACAAGAAACATGAAGCATTTACTGCCAGCTGACGCGGCTTCGAACGTCAAACGAAACATGGTAAATGATTGAATTAAATAGAAAAAAGACATGGCTTTTATGTGGTTCTCTTCACTACGCCTGGTCTTCGTGTTATAGCTTTTCTTCGTCGTCAGACAGCTGACTGACTGACTGTCGTCGCATTTCACAGCGCGTACCAGAAATAACTGGCCGGCCGGTATGGAGGGCGAAGAAAAAGAAGAACACCCCTTTGGTGGAAGCGTATGAATTTCAGATGTGGCAACAAATGAATTTGTATGTTTTCTTTCGGCGGTTAATGTGTGTCAACGCGTGAAGCCGCAGCGGCAGCGACAGCAGCAACGTCAGCACCGACACCTTTACCACAAACCAGAAATTTGTCATCCAAATAAAATTGAAACAACATAAGAAGCTATTGCAGCAATAGCCGTCATCACAACAAGTACCAATTGTCATCATCATCATCGTCGTCGTCACCGGGAGGCACAGTGGTTCGAACAGGGGATTTATAAAAATAAAATGTTTCCAGTTACAGACCGAAGTTGGACCTCAGAAATAAGTTCAGAATCTAATTTATAATCGAGCAAAAATCAAAAATCGATTTTTAGCAGGATAAGCCGACTTTTACGGAATTAATGAGCTTTTAAGAATTAATCAGCTTTAAAGTCTTCCTGAGACACCCTGTGTTTAAAGTGGTCTTTGTAGACACCCTGAAACGTCAGCTCGTCTATAAAGATTCCCTGAAGCTTCAGCTCTCATAGAAGATCTGAAAATTTTCTGTGAGGAGATTTCTCAGAAGATCTGGAAATCTTTTCTCAGAAGATCTGAAGATCTAACAGAAGATTTGGAGAGCATCTTACAGAAGATCTGGGCGGCTTCTCAAAGAAGAAATATGATCTTCTCATAAAAGATCGGGAAATTTTCTCACAAAAGGTCCGGAGATCTTCTTATAGAAGATAGGAGGATTTTCCCAGACGTTCTAGAGATCTTCTAACAGCAGATCTGGAGATCTTCTAACAGAAGTTTTAAAGACTCCAGGTGATCTTTGAAGACTTCCTGAGCTTCAGGTAGTCTTTAAAGACAAACTGAGTCTCAGCTAGTCTTTAAAGACAACCTGAGTCTCAGCTTGTCTTTAAAGAACCCCTGAGTCTCAGCTGAGTTTTAATCTCCCCTTTAGCTTCTGCTGGGCTACAAAGGCCCCCTGAAGTTTGGTTGGCCTATAGAGCCCCCCCTGTGGTTCAGCTGGCTTATGCAGACCCCTTAGCTTCAGCTCGCCTATGAAGGATGCCTAAGCTTCAGCTAGGCTATAAAACTCCCCGATGCTTCAGCTGGCTTATAAAGACTCCCTGAGGCCTCAGCTCGCTTTGGTTCAGCTGGCTTTTGCAGCCCCCTGACCTTCAGCTCGCCTATGAAGGCAGCCTAAGCTTCAGCTAGCCTATAAAAACTCCCCGAAGCTGCAGCTGGCCTAAAAAGACTCCCTAAGGCGTCAGCAGTCTATAAAGACTCCCTGAGGCGTCAGCTCGTCTATAAAAACTCCCTGAGGCGTCAGCTGGTCTATAAAGACCTTCTAAGCCTCAGCTGGTCTTTAAAGACTTCCTGAGCCTCAGCTGGTATGTAAAGACCTCCTGAGCCTCAGCTGGTCTATAAATACCTCCAGAGCCTCAGCTGGTCTATAAAGACCTTCTGATCCTCAGCTGGTCTATAAAGACCTTCTGAGCCCCAGCTGGTCTATAAAGACCTTCTGAGCCTCAGCTGGTCTATAAAGACCTCCTGAGCCCCAGCTGGTCTATAAAGACCTCCTGAGCTTCAGCCGGTCTATAAAGCTCTCCTGAGCCTTAGCTGGTCTTTAAAAACCTCCTGAGCATCAGCAGGTCTATAAAGTCACCCTGAGCTTCAGCTGGCCTATAAAGCCACCTCCTAAGCTCAAACTCGCCCAGCTCGTGTTTAAAGACTCCCTAAGGTATCATCTCGCCTATAAAGACAACGTAAGACGTCAGCTCGCCTGTAAAAACTCCCTGAGCTTCAGCTGATCAATAAGAACCCCCTGAGCTTATTTATAGAGACCCCCTAAGCCAAAGCAGGCCTATAAGCACTCTCTAAGCCCTGCTCGCATAAAGACTCCCAGAGCCTCAGCTGGCCTATATAGGCAACCTGAGCTTCAGCTGGCATTTAAAGACTCTCTGAGCCTCAGCTCGCTTATAAGAACCCCTGAGTTTCAGCGTTGTCCTTAAAGACCCCTCAGAGCTTTACTTGGCCTAAAAAATACAATCTGAACTTCAGTTGGCCTGTAAAGACAGCTTGAGGCGTTAGCTTGCTGTTAAGAGACAGCTGTAGGAGTCAGATCGACTTTGAAGAATCCCTGAGCTTAAGCTCGCCTCTAAAGACTCCCTGAGGCTTTAGCTCGCCTCTATAGACTTCAGCTCGCGTTTAAATACTCCCCAAGGCTTCCGCTTCAATTTGAAGACTCCCCAAAGTTCCAGCTCACCTATAAAGACCCCCTAAGTGTCAGCTGGCCTATAAAGACTTTCCGAAGCTCCACCCATACTATAAAAAGCTCCCCGCCTCTAAAGGCTCTCCGAGGCTTCAGTTCGTTTATATAGACTCTTAGGCCTTCAGCTTGTCTATAGAGACTACCTATGCTTGAACACGTTTAGAGAGACCCCCTTATAAAGACTTCCTCAATGTCAGCTATGGAGACTCCCGTGTCTTTAGTTCATCTATAGAGGCTCGCCAAGGTTTCTGCTCGCTTGCCAAGACTCCCTGACCCTCAGCTCGCCTATGAATATTCCCCGGTCCTCTGCTCCCCTATGAAGACTTCCTGAGTCTCCAGTTTTTCACCTTGAGACACTGTGCCTGTCCCGCCACTCTTAATTATTTGTCAACGAAAAAAACAGTAAAAGTACGCCACTCTTTATTTGGAGTATGGAGTACGTTTTTATATGAGTTGTTGTAAACATGATTTTCTTGTAAGACTTTGTTGTTGCTGTTTGAAGTAACAATTGCACCAATTTTATGAACAAACAGTGGCACAACAACCACAATACCTACTTTGGGAGGGGGAGGGGGCATTAAGCGCTACTTTGAAATGATGGCGAATAAAATTCACGTAGTCAAAGAAGTAATCAATTTGTAAGAAGTAGTACCGAGAGAAGAAGTAGGGGAAGAAGAAGAAGAAAATCAAGTCAAGTAGCCGATAACGGTAAATAAAGTCGAACAACAACAATGGGAGGTGTCACAGCTCTCACGATATATGTCGCGTCTCAAAACCAAGCGTCACGCATTTAACCAATTCTTTATTGGGCGGCGATTGAGTGGTGGCAACAGGGGAACAATTTATGCCATGTGTGCTACAACAGAAAAGAAAATTTGCCCTAGTGTGTGTGTGCTCTAGTTTTCCGAATTTTTCATACACTCGAGAAAAAATTAACTCTTTGTGGAAGTAGAAATAAAATCGAAAAGAATTTTTTTTGGTCTTCTGATTGAGATTTTTTCGATGATGATGATCTTGGAATTTTTATTGGTTTCAAATGGTATTTGTTGGTTATTTTTTTTCGGTTCGCATCTCTTGGAGTTTTTAGAAAAAAAAAAAAAAAATTTAAAAAATTAGAATTCGGAATTTATTTTGATTTAAAAAATTAATTTGCTGGTGGTATTTTTGGTCCGTATCTCTTGGAGTTTTGAGAAAAATCTCTTTAACAACCTTGCCTATCTTCGCCCCTTTCAAAATAGAAACAAAAATTAATCTGAAAATTTCGAAATAATCCACAACAAATATGTTCTGCACTAAAAACAATGGTGACTACGATCAGAATAACCTGTGATGGCGTCTTCATACAATCCAATTCATTTCTAACCTCAACAACGGCATCGTCATCAACAACCTCCTCAAATCTTGCAGGAACAACAACATCACCATCTTCCGACGAAGCAACAACCCCGACAATATTTTCATCAAGCACAGCCGATACATTGGTGGAAAGTCGAAACATTACCCCGGAGCAGGAAGACGACGAGAAGGATAACAGCTCCAGTGCCAGTAGTACGACCACGACACCAAACCTAACCACCACCTCCCATGGAAGTGCCAAAGATCGTTCCGAGTCGAGTAATTTTCAATATGAGGAAGTACGAACACTTGTCCCACAATTAAAGAAATCGGGCAGTGATTCCTCTTCCTCCTCCTCGGCGGCGGGATCCATTATCTCAACACTCAATTCTCGCAACTTAACATCCGTCAGCCCAAATAATCGTGCAAAACGGCCTCGAACCCCCAAAAATGATAATCGTCGTCGATATTATTTTGGCAGCAACAAAGTCTATTGGTGTAAGCAGTCACTGCTGAATGGTGGCATTCCAGCATCACCGATTTCCCTACACAACGGGCCTCGGAGGACAGGGGATGAGGGTACGAAAAAACCAGCAGCACAACATCGAGTAAAACTCCAACGGAGTGCCAGTTCGGTGACCGACAAAGAATTACAGCAAAAGAAGAAACAAATCAATGGTCAGGACGAAATAGAACAAAGACCCCGAACAGGAGTCCATAAACTCTTAACAGCCTCCAATAGTCTCAATTCTTGCACATTCCACTCCAACGGAAATCAGAAATTCAATCTCAAGGAATTTTACAATTTCTCCGCCAACAAAATCAAAGCCCCAGCGGGGGCGATACTAAACACCAGCCCACAAAGTGGAGTCAAGAACAACAACCACATCAATAATCGCAAATCCTCACCCAAGACAATATCCGGAGGCACCTCAATATTTCTGGTCAACGGAGGTGGAGGTTTCAGTATTAACTCCTCAGCCTATGGCAGTCAACGCAAATCCCCAACGCCAGCAACAGCAAATGATTCAACACGGCTCTTGAGTTTTTTACGCTCCGCCAGGAAGCTTTATCGCAACAGTATTCGTCTAAATCAGCAGCATTCTCAGTCTACCAACAAATCCTGCTCGTCCTCCTCCCCCCGCCACACTGAAGACCAAAGAGATGATGTCGATTCGCCGTTAAATTCATCCAATAATGTTCCTAGCTATCGCGATAAGCTAAGGCAGAGCTATCTCTTTGGCCTCAAGAATTTCTACAATCAACCAAATGAGAATAGCAGCAGCAATAATAACAATAACGGTGGTGGTAGCAGTAGCTGTAAGGAAAATAAGCCAGTATTAAGCGAGGAATGGTTCGGTTAGTATTGCACACTTTTTTATGTAGTTTTTCGAATGGTAATCGCAGAAACGGGCAGTTAGCCATTACGAAGTAATGTAATCTAAGTATTTTTTGCGCTAACAGTAAGTGGAAAAGTAATGAGTTATCCAACTACATAGTAATGGGTGAGGAAGCTATGAAATAAACCGTATTTCAGCGAAAAATCAAGAGAAAACTGTCTTATCCGATTACCAGGTAATGAGTAATGGAGACAAGGCGAGTCTATTTAATTACCAAGTAAGGAGTCACAAAGGATGTACTGTTATTTATTACGATTACGAGATAATTATTTTATTTAACTCATTACCATGTAATGCGAAAAGGAGAAATGACGTGCCTATCTACTTACCAGTAAGGAGTCACCAAAATGTAGGGGGTTTTATTGAAAGATTACGAGAGAAATCATTTATCTGTCCAATTATCAATTAGTGAGGGAGGAATTACGTGTCGAACTGATTACCAAGTAAGGAGTCACAAAAAATGTAAAGTAAAATGTCGGTCACTAAATAAAGGGTTACGAGAATTTTTTTTTTTCATTACCAAGTAATGAGTGATAAAGTTAGTTTCGCTTAACTTACCAAATGCCAGAATTTTTGCCATGCCCAAAAATTGAAAAAATACACTTGGGCTCATCAAGTATATTAGCGGGGAATTTTCTCTAATTTTTAGTTGGCCTATTTATGAGAAATAAATTATTTCAGGAAGAAGAACAGCTTATCTCTATAATCGAAAAGTTTTGAGGTCATACCTATTAAAACCTCAGAGATATCGGAAATTAAACAACTTACCCAAAAAGTAGAGAAATCCTATTCTCTTTTTCGTTTTAATTTCAAAGCCTTGCAGTTTTTTCCTCTGCTCGGTTTTTTTTATAAAACTAGTTTTATTTCATAATATGGGAAGCCTATTTTTAAACTGATATTAATTTTGTTGATGTAGCCCTCCAAATACCCGAGATATCAGCAAAAATTACAAATACTCAAAAAATGTAAAAATTGCACTTGTATTCAGTAAATAGATTGCAAGATACATATATCTGAGTCTAGTTGGCTAATTTACCCGACATAATTTATTTTGGGAAGAGGAACATCTTATCTATATATAGTTGTCAAGTTTCGCAGCTATAGCTGGCACAACTTCAGAGATATCGGAAAATTAACGACTTACCCAAAAAGTGGAGAACTTCGATTTTCTTTTTCGTTGTGACTAAAAGATTTGTAGTTTTTCTTCCGCTCGGTTTTTAGGTGAAACTGTTTTTCTTTCATGAAGTAGAAAGCCTATCTTTAAACCTGTGTCAATTTTGTTGATGTAGCTAACCAAGTACTCGAGATATTGACTAAATTACAAAGTACGCAAGAAATAGGAAAATAGCACTTGTACTCAACGAGTGTATTGCAAGCCACATATCTCTTATCCTAGTTGGCCTATTTACCTGAAATAAATTATTTTAGAAAGAAGAACATATTATCTATATCATTGGCAAGTTTTGTAGCTAAAACTGGTGAAATTCCAGAGATATCGGAAAATTAACAGCTTACCCAAAAGTAGAGAATTGCGATCTATTTTTCGTTGTAAGTTAAAATGCTTATAACTTTTCTTTTGATTGATTTCTTTAGTTAAAATAAATTTATTTTAGAAATTGGGAAACATATCTTTAAACTGATATCAATTTTTTTGATGTAGCTTACCAAATACCCGAGATATCGTCCAAATTACACAGTACGCAAGAAATGTGAAAATAACACTTGTAATCAGTAAGTGTATTGCAAGCCCCATATCTGTAATTATAATGGGGGTATCTAACCGAAATAAATTGTTTTGAGAAGAGGAACACCTTATCTATATAATTGACAAGTTTTGGAGCTATAACTGCTCAAACCCCAGAGATATCGGAAATTGAAAAACTTGCACAATAAGTAAAGGAATCTCATTTATCTCAGCAAGTATGTAACAGATCACATATCTCTAATGCTAGTTAGCCTATTTACCTGAAGTAAATTATTTTAGAATGAAGAACATCTTATATATATGTAATTAACAAGTTTTGTAGCTATAACTGGTGAAATTCCAGAGATATCGAAAAATTAACAACATACGGAAAAATAGAGAAATGAGACCTATTTTTCGTTGTAATTTAAAATGCTCATAACTTTTCTTTTGGTACTTTTTTTCCACTTCAAACATTTTTATTTTAGAAATAGGGAAGCCTACATCCAAATTAATATCAATTTTGTTGATGTAGCTAAGCAAATACCGGAAATATCGGCTAAATTACAAAGACGCAAAAAATGTAAAAATTACACTTGAAATAAGTAAGTGTATTTCAAGCCACATATCTCTACTTCTAGTTGCCCTATTTTCCTGAAATAAATTGTTATGGAAAGAGGATGATCTTATCTATATAATTGACAAGTTTTGTAGCTTCTAACTGCTCAAACCCCCCGAGATATCGGAAAATTAACAACTTACGCAAATGATAAAAAAATCCGATTTATATTTTCGTTGTAATTTAAAACGCTCACAACTTTTTTGGTTGGTTTTTTCTAGTCTAAATAAGTTTATTTCGGAAATATGGATGCTTAATTTTCCTCTGATATCAATTTTCATAATGTAGCTAACCAAATGCCCGAGATATCGACTAAATTACAAAGTACGCAAAAAAAAATATCACATGGACTTGGCGAGTATATTACAGGTCACATATCTCTAATCCTAGATGACCTATTTACCTGAAATAAATTATTTTAGAAAGAAGAACACCTTATCTATATAATTGACAAGTTTTGTAGCTATAACTTCTAAAACCCCAGAGATATCGGAAATTGAACAACTTACGCAATAAGGAAAGAAATCTCATTTCTCTGAGCAAGTATGCAACAGGTCACATATCTCTAATCCTAGTTGGCCTATTTAGCTGAAATAATTTTTTTTGAAAGACGAACATCTTATCTATATAATTAACAAGATTTGCATCCTTAACTGAAAAAACTCCAGAGTTATCGGAAAATTCACAGATTACCCAAAGAGTATTTGAATTGCGATTTATTTTCATTGTAGTCTCAAAAACTTGCAGTTTTTCCAGCATAGACCTGGAACAATCTTCCAAAATTGGTTCAAATGCTTTATCTCAAAATCTTTCAAAAGTAGATTCAATCGATTCTCAACATAACTCCCTCGTGAAACCCCATTGTTACTAACATTTCCCCTAAAGTTTTCTGTGATTCACTTTTTATCAGCCTTTTTTTCTTCTTTTTCTTCTCCCCCTTTGGTTTTATGTTCTTAGCATGTTACAGAGATTTTAATTCTTTAAATATCTCAATTGCAAAACGTGCTTCTTAAACATTTACCCTATCGTCGTTCTGGATTTTGGAATTTAACACTGCAAGATGCAGATTTGAGTAAATCCAGCATTCATTTAGTCACCATTCTGAGTCAGTGAAACGTAAAGTGAATTAAAACAAAAAGACTAGAGATTTAAATTTTTTGAAGTGAGGATAAAGAAATACAAGGTTCGTAAAAAGAAACGAGGAAAAGGGATTTAATATTGGCCTGGAAGTCAGGTTCCAAAATACTTATACCTTTCTCGAACCTTACGGCCATCATATTTCAAATTCCAAATTCCCTACCAAATTTCCACCTCTCTTGTAATTACGCCTTACCCTAACTCAAGTCTCCGGAACTAAATTCCCCACATGGAATGTGACAAAGCCGTTTTTTTCAAATGTTTATTTTGTTTTGAAAAAAAAAAAAACCTAAAAACTTATTTAATTTTCATGCCCATGTGTGAAATCATTCCGATTATCAGCTATCGGATTGGCCAACCTAGTACTCCGTCCGATACTCATCGCCATCATCATCAACATTATCCACAGTCGATTGCTTTGGCTATTAGCACATAAAATAAACAAAATAAATTTTTACCTCGGAATATTGACTGTGAAATAACACGCGACTGCCTGGCTGCCGGACTAGCTGGCTATCTGATCAACTAAAGTACCCACTCTGAATATTGACGCAGCGTTTGGGGGGAATTCCAAATTCAAATGTTTTTTTTTTGGTGTTTATGTTTACGGAACGCATACAATTTCGTTGTAAAATAACCTCTGATCGATGATGGAATGGACGAGCGAGCGAGCGATCGATCGATTAATATTTGTGTTTGCATTTGCAATAGCCAAACAACAATGGCAACAACAACTAAAATGTTACACAAGTTTTGCCGTTGCCGAGTGAGCCACCAATTAGCCATGTTAGTGTAAACTCGATTCCAATTGTTATGTTAAAATTAGCTGCGATGTACCAACGAAGGTAGTGGCGGAGCCCAGAAAACACAAAACAATAATAAAAACACACAAAGTGTATTGCAACAATTTTTGTAAAAAAAACAAGCACACTGATGAATATTTTATGTTAACAATAAAAAAAAAACAACTCGAAAAAATAACGGAATACAATGTTCGGAAATACATATGCTGGGTGGAATTTACAAAAGCAATCTACAACAAATTGGGTAATAAAACGCAATAACTTTGAGATATTTAACATTTGCATTACAAATGGAAGAGGAAATAAAAAAAGGCTTCAGACTTTTAATTTCTTGGTTTGATTATTAAAAAATTAAAACTGTTGTGGAAAATGATATAAAAATTATGAAGATATCTCAACAAATACCAGAGATATGGTAAAATTTGAAAAAGTCTCCAAAAAATCTCATATTTGTATTGTTGCTACTTTCTAAGAAACATACATTTCATTTCTAACACTTTTATATAATTTATTTTAACAGATCTTCGTAGTAATACTTCCGACATTTAAATTAAGGTATAATTTGTAACTGTATCTCATCAAATACCAGAGATATTGTCAATTTACAAAAATCCGAAAATGTTGGGAAAATAACATTTTTGCATAGCAACCTTTTTCAAGAGGTGTATCACATCATTTTCAGCAAGATATTGATTTAAAATTATTAGATTTATAAC